ACTATTTATTTAATAATAAAGGAATAAAAAAGGTTGCCTAGGTGTGACGGGCGAGGCTGTAAATCAAATTAATATTTTGAAAGTTATCATCTCGACCGTCCATATCTGAAGGCATTGAGTTATTATTGTGCGTGCCGGGGCGAGTGGGGGTTGAACTCAGTAACTGACTCATCATAAATGTGGTGTTGTTTAATGGTTCAGTTATCATTGTAGTGCTCTTTGACTATTTGTTTGATAGTGTCGGCGGATGTGTGGAAACCAACCTGAGAGTGAGACACATCATTGGTGTACAATAGAAAAAGACTTTAATATCCTTTGTCCTATACTACTTAATTTTCTTATTTTATTTCATTCAATTTTTGTTTTTAATTATGAATAATACTGTCTTTGCATCACCTTCTACAGCATTTCTTTTACTTAATGATGTGGCATCTTACATGGCATATGCAATGTCAACCGGATATTGTTTGGTTGGCAAATTTAGGATAGAAGAATTTTGGGGGCGATTTAAATTTGGGGAATTCTAGGTCTGTTTGGTTTAGTATATTTTACTATTCTATTCATGCTATTTTTAAAGAAAAATACTATTTTTATAAAGACCTATACAAAGAGGATTATAAAGTAACGTGAGAGAGAAGAAAAAAATAAAGAAAAAAAGGAAAAAAAGAGAGAAAGAAATCATGAAGATTAAGGGTAGCAATTATTTTTGTATGCCCCTTTTGTATTTATCTTTGTAAGGATATCACTTCTCATTTCTAAATTACTAGTTTGTTTCCCTAAAAATGCTATTATATTTTATTTAACTATTTTTAAATCTTTTAAGTTTATTAATTTAACAAACACCCACAAAAAAAAGTTTAGAAATTAAGAAAAACACATCTATCTATCCACATTTGCCAGATTTTGACCACTATAGTAGAAAAGTAGTCGAAATTTAATATAATAGCATATTATCGACTGGATCTAACCGATAATACATCAATCTATCATTTTTCGACTAAATCTATAATGAATATGATCGAAAAGGACTAGATCAACTACCAAAGATTTGATCATCGAAAAAACACTGATTTGATACCATGAACAAATTGCATTTGAGAGAAGAAATTTTTTATTTAGCTTAAAGGGATCCATTTACAAGAAGCACATTTTATATGTATATACAAGTAACTATAGTTAGTCAACCACAGTTAATTAACTATAACAACTAACTAACTATTTAACCAATTAACTAAGCCACTTAACTAACTGACAGATTAATTAGCTAACTAAACTAATTAACTGATTATACTAATAATCCAATAGTCATGCTGATACAAAACATGTCGAGGACAAAACCGACGAGTCGAGGTGAGTCATGGGAGGGTGACTCAGAGGGAACAAGCTTAGAGATGGCTTCTTTGACGAGGTGTTTATGAGATTTAATGAACGAAGTGAAGAAGCTTCTGGGGTCGAATTCTTGAAGGTCATCGCTTGGGAGATGAACGAAGTTGATGCGGTCACTAGCAAAGAGTGAGTTTAGATAGGTGTTAACTTTGGAGTCAAAGGGTAATTTTATGACGAGGACTGATGGAGATGCGTTGGTGACAGTGGACGAGGAGCTTGGCCAGCTCCACGGTGGAGCCGAGGTGGCCGACGCCTAGTGTAGGGATGAAGACGAGGTCGGCTTTCTTGTTCATTGAAGTTGGTTATTGCAAATTATTTACAAGTCAAGTCTTGCCTTGTTTATCAGATGTTCATGATGTATTAACTTGTAACATGGTAGACATAAGCCATACTTGCTCTATATAAATGCAGTGTGAAAAGAATTAAGAAGATTATTGTTTATCTGTTGGAATTCACATGAAATATTTTGGGCATCTTTTACCTGTTAGAACTTAAAAAAGGGCGCAAACTGGCAGAAGGCGGTAGATGGCGTTGACTCCCCTGCCAACTCCATTATTTTTTTCCTGCTCAGTTGCAGATGATGAGGAGATTACCGGATTGTAGAGTTTGTCGATCCTGGACATGAAGCGCTATGGGGTGAATATGGTCTTGTTGAGTTCCGAAATCCATGGGACATCTGTTCTTTCGAAAAAAAAAAAAAGGGGAAAATGAAATTACATGAACTAATTCTTATTAACATTCATCAGAGCATGAAATCTCACTATAAGGAGAAGGAAATAATAAACTAAAAGACCAACTGCTAGCCTTTCAACAGCCAATCATTTTTTGCAGCTAGCTGTCTTCAGTTTACTACACATGGTTTTCGTTCTCCCATTTTCAAAATCTGTGAAGAACATTCATGTTCATTCATTAAACAAAGAGATGACATCTAGATTGGAGCTTCAGGTGGCCCTATATCAGCATTTTTTTTTATTTCCATGGCTAATCCTTCCAACATCTCATATATCTCATGACATGGTTTTTTTATAAGACTTGAACAAGCCTCTCATTTTAATCCATTTTAATTTCAACCGCTAATCCCAACTCAATCACCATTTCAAAGGCATTCAATTAATTGGAACGCCAAACCATATGCTTTCTAGTGTAGAATTCCACCCACAGTGTGATATCGATCATGACTGTACAAAACATGTCGAGAACGAACCCGGCGAGTGTGGGTGAGTCATCGGAGGCTGACTCTGAGTGAAGAAGCTTAGAGACAACTGCTTTGACGTGGGGTTTATGAGATTCAATATATAAAGGGAAGAATTTTCTGGGATTGGATCCAGGAAGTGGAATGTGATCGTTGGGAAGATGAACGAAGTTGATACAGTTGGCTGCAGAGACTAAGTCGAGGTAGGCGTTGACTTTGGAGTCAGAAGGTAGCTTCATGACGAGGACGGTGATGGAGAGGTGGTGGTGGTGGTGGACGAGGAGCTTAGCCAGCTCCACGGTGGAGAAAAGGTGGCCGATGCCTGGTATAGGAATAAAGCTGAGCTTTCTTATTCATTTGTGTGGATGATTGACGATTCCTTTTGTTGGTTGTGAGTAAAATTATACCAAGCTTTTATGGATATACTAATAGTGAATGATGTCACTGCCTTGTTAATAGTGAAAAGAGGAGAGACACGTGTAACTCATGCACTGAGTGTACTGTGTATACCATGTCAGCATACAACGCTTATACTATGGTTGAGTATATCCATACATGACTAGCAAGATCCTCCAGTGAAATAGTGACATGTGTTATCGTTTTTCCCTTTTAAACGACAGCTAAAATTTCATGAACCACTGTTGCTCCATATAAATTCAGTGGGAAAATAATAAGAAGAATGTTATTTACATGCTGGAATTCATATGAAAAAGTTCAACATCCCTTTACCAGTGTTTTGAAGGAAGAGAAAACAAGGTTAGAACTTGGAACTGAGAATGCCTGGTTGAAGGTCAACTGCTGTAGCTCCTTCAATCTCCCAGGTTTAATTCATATGGTCCGTAGAGGAACACTGGCGCAAACTGGCAAACCGCGGTAGATGGCGTTGATTCCCCTGGCCACTCCATGATCATGCTGCCCGATTGCAGATGATGATGTGCTAGAGGGAGAATATGGTCTTTTTGAGTTTTGCAATCCATGTAACATTTGTTCGTGTCATCATTATAATTGATATTCTCAAAAAAGGGGAAAATGAAATTACAAAATTTTGAATTAATTGATTCTCGTGAATATCCATTAGGGCATCACATTGACCAACATATCGAAAACTCGTTCTAAAGAGAATGAAGCAAAAACAAAAGACTATAAAAAATCCAAAGTAGGCATTTTCTTCCTAACTTAATGAATGTAAAATCTTATATATCAATAGAAAACGGCTTTAAACTTTTGCTCGGGTTTTATTTGTTTAAAACTTATTCCCATCTATGATAAAAATTAGTTCAAATTTCCATTTCAATCATCCATTATTCAAGCATAAGGTCCAAACTCTCCATATTACCAATCTATCTACCTGAAATGATTTCGTATGTTGAGATATAAAAAGATGTCTAAATTATTAGCTTAAAGAGAATCCTAACAGTTTCAAGAATAAAGTATTGAAAATTTAAATAATAGAAACTATATAACAATTTTACATACAAAAACTTCTCAGATGAATTTTAAACTAATCTTTCATTTTCTTCTTTGTGTTCACCCAAAAGACAGATTCTGCGATAAAAATTTAGGTATGATCACTTTACTAAGTCAATGAAGAAGATGCTTTAATCACAGCAGAGGATAGAACGTAAGAAGATATCCATAACTAAGAAGTAATGAGAAAGCAGCCACTATAGTTGAAAAAGTGTGAAAGATCCAATAAAGAAATTCATGCACCATATGTATAAAGTCCGGTTGCTGCTGAGCATAGAGTGATATAATTTTTTTAAAGGCGAAATTTTTACCATCATGCTAGAATGAGAGTTTTTCTATATTTTGCCTAATCAATGAGATAAGGCCTGATTAAATAAAGTTGAGCAGCTTATCCACTTTACTCTAATTTAGTCTCCATTGCTTAACTTAACCACTAAAGACCATGCAAACATCCAGATAATTGCGTCATGCTAAACACTGAGCTGCTCAACTGAGCATTGATCGAAATTATCAGTCTTGACACAGGACCACGATTTAGACCTAACATCATGTTGTATCCACAATAATTAAATGACCAACTACTGGCCTTTCAACATCCAATATTTTTGCAGCTAGTTGTCTTTACTAAACATGGTTTTCATTCTCCCATTTTCAAAGTCCATAATGAATATTCCAGTTCATTCATTAAACTGTGAGATGGCATCTAGATTAGAGCTTCGGTTGGCCCTATAACCAGCATTTTTCATTTCCATGGCTAATCNAACCCTTATATCAAAAATCACATCTTTAACCAATTTTTTTTGCTTAGAAACCACATATATGTTCTATCCACATAACATTATTGTAATTAATCTTCCCTTTTCAGTTTAATCTCATACCATTGCACTCAATCATAAACAACACAAATCAAATTAATCAATAATCATCAAAGAGGGAAATCTCAAGCTTTACTCACCTCCCACATGCTTAATCCTCCTTTACTCCTTCTGGTCACCGGAGTTTGCCCGCCGGCGGCCACTTTTCCAGCCACCTTCATCGCTCTCTACTCTTCTCTCCTTGCTTCTTCCTTTTCTCTCTTTTCTTTCTTCTCTTCTTCCTCCCCTCTCTTTTCTTTCTTCTTCTCGATTCTTCTCCATGCAGGCGAACAGCCCACTTTTATATAAAACAATTTTCCAAAATTGTGAAACTACCCCAATGATTCTCTTATTCTTATCATGACTCTGCCACAACAGCTTTTCTTGCAAAATACCCCCATCAAAAATTTAGAAACTCACATTTTTCCCCCGGGAAAACAAAATAAATTTCATAAAATAACCTATAAAATATGTGATATTACATTTATAGTGCTTTACTTTCTATATGGGAGTTATGTTTATTTAACCACTGCGAAATTTCACAACAAAAAGAAGAATATTATGAGTCTCTCGAGCACTACAAATTACTCCCTTCTATCTCTTTGCAGCTACACACTCTTTTTGTGGCCTCACTAATTGTGGCCACACACTTTCTCTCTAAGATTTAACACATTTTAATAATGTCTAGGACGTCTCACAACATATTTATGATACAAAGTCATTAGGAATTAAAAACACTTACCTAGGCTGAAAATCATGTGTTTCCCAAAGGTGTATTTGCTAAAGTTAATTTTCTTTTCTACAGCAAACAAACAAATAATCATGAAATATTAGTTTGCCTGTTCACTAATCACAATTATGTTACACCGTTCAATGTTACAAAGAATACGTGTAAGATTAGTAGTAGCATAGTATGATGTATTTTATTTTTTAAATAAAAATAAAACAGATGTTATCTAAACTGTTTTCGACAAGATTGATTTTACAAATTCATATCTCTAACTAATTAGTTAATTTTAGATATTCCTATAATTGCGTTATACTGATGCATTCTCTAATTGATAACACAGATGTTGATAGAGATTGCAACAGCTATTGTATCAAAGGTTGGAGAATACTTGGTGGAGCCGACCATAAACCAAGCTCGTTACTTATTTCGTTTCAACAAAATTGTTGAAGATCTTACAAACAAAGAACAAAACTTGAAATCGAAACAACATGATGTGGAGGAACAAATCGAAGCTGCAAAAAGAAATGATGAAAATATTAAGGCAACTGTACAAGATTGGCTGTCTGATTCGAGAAAAATCATGGGAGAAGTTGAGACGTTGAAAGGAAAAATAGAAGTTAATAAGACTTGTCTTAATGGGTGTTGTCCTAACTGGTGTTTTAGACATCAATTTGGTAGGAAAGCAACAAAGACAAGCATTTTGTTGAAGGCAATTGTAGATAGAGGCCAATTTGATAGAGTGGGCAATCTTGCACCTCTATCAGGTGAACCTTCAGCACCTAAAGATTTTGACTTTTTCCAGCCTACGACAGATGCTTTTGATAAGATTATGGAGGCACTTAAAAATGATGGCATCCATTTGGTTATATTGTATGGGATGGGCGGTGTGGGTAAAACAACTTTAGCAANCCAGTCTCCCTGTAAGGTTGAAGAAAATGTCAATCATTACCTTTCTTGAATCATAATCTCATACGGAGACGGGCCCCATAATTACAAGAAGTCGGTACATTCAAGAGATAAGAGCAACAAATTAAGACAAACAGAAGCTAATTTGTTTTTTCTCCCATTCCAATGAAATTTTCAAGTTCATGTATATATTATTATATAATTCATTGTAGCTATCTGAAGTTTAAGGTAAAGATTGAGGCTTCATGTTACCTGAGCAAGCGGCGGCCGGTGGAGACTGGAGAAGCAGCTGCCGGTGGAGACTGGAGAAGCAACGGCCGGTGGAGACTGGAGAAGCAGCGACCGGTGGAGACTGGAGAAGCGGCAGTCGGTGGAGACTGGAGGAGCTTTAACCGAGAGTGAGTGAGTGAGTGACTGTGAGATGAGTGTTAAAGAGACGAGAGTGAATGTGAGTTATGAAACAGAGGATGTGATTAAAGGGTTCAAAAGATACACATACCTTGGATGAGCAAGACGTGGAGTTGCGCTCGTGGCTCTGAGATTGGAGATGCGGTGACGGTGGAGACTGTAGACGTGGCTCTGGAGAGTGCAGTCTGGAGAAGCGGCGACGGTGGAGTTGCGTGGGTAGCGGCGACGGTTACGGTGGAGTTGCGTGGGTAGCGGCGACGGTTACGGTGGATTTGCGCGAGTGAGTTTGAGAGACGAGAGTGAGTGAGTGTGAGAGAGGAGATGAGTGAGGGATTTCAATTCAAAAGACAAACCGAGACCCGCGGGTGTACCCGTCTCACCCGCTTTCAAAACGGTCGGACCGGGTATGGGTTTAATGTCATGGACTTATACCCTATTTTTTATCTGGGTATGGGTCGAACCGATGGATTTGAACCTCTTTTGCCAAATCTAAGTGATGTTAGACGTACAAAGTGATGTGATAGAAAATAAATAGACGAGTGGATATAAAAAGTCAAACTTATTATATTTATTATTTTATTTATATCACTTTATACAAACATCTTTATATTCATTCCCTGTCAGATTACTTCGTATAAACATCTTTTTAAAATTCTTCATACTTTTAGCATTAATGATTTGAAAAACTACAATAGATAATTATTAGAGAATTATCATGACAAACTACAAACCAAATTCAGAAAAATGATTCTTTACACGGTAGAAACATCTACAATGGAGAATTAAAGTAAACTAACAATCCAAATGTTGATAATAGTTGAAAAAAATCAACTAAAAATAAAATCTTTTCACACTTCATCACTCACATATAACTTCATCGTGCTTCTTGGGTATATCAAAGGTGTAGTCATCCAAACACTTGACCAAATGGGTTTTTGTTGGATGAAACAAAACACTATGCTAATCGTTAACCTTCTTTACGAAGATTTCTATAATTATCCCACTCATTACAGTCTAGATTATGATATTCATTAGTGAAATATACACAATTAGAACATCTTGAACGAATTTGATCCCCCAAACTCTCTAACTCCCTAGGTCCTGTAATAGTAAAAGCATACAAGTTTTCTCATGAGAATTTCCTGAAAATATCAAATTTAGATCACGTTTGTTGGCATTAGGGATAACGGTTTAATTCCGTCCGTTAATACTGCAAGATAAATTTAGTCTACCGATAATTGATATTTGTAAATGAAGTTTATATTTTTTCCACGTTTAAGAATTTTTGAGGTAAAATAAACAAAGAAATTGAAAACCTTATATAATATATAGAATCATGAATATTGAGATTTTGTTATTTATTAATACCATTAAAATAACAAAATTATGTGTAGGTTATTTTATAATAGAGTAATGCTATACGTATTCACAGATCTTACTAACCTTTGTTAAAATTAAATATAATATCTGTACTATACTTGTGGTATCCGTACTATGCTTTATATTTACAAAGGTTAATATGTTGGTTAGTGCACTCGTAAGTACGCATAGTATTATTCTTTATAATATTTGAGTTTATCTTTTCAATATCAAAAAGCTTTTTGATAATTTAAGATTAGAACATTCCATCTTTTATATTTAAGATAACCCTTTTTTTTTTCTTCATTTTTTGCTAAATTGTGTTGAAATGACTTTTATGCCCCTACACCGTCTAACACCCTAACTCCGTTATCTGTCAGGGGTAACAGTACCACGTTCCGAAAATACTGGATGAAATTGGTTTTATGTTTTACAAATACAACCCCTTCTTCAAGTTCAATGCTTCTTCGCCAACGCCTCACAACTCTCAGTCGCCATCTCTCCACTTCCTCTTTATCCACCAAAATCCCACTTCTCTACACGCACACAAATGAAAAACCAAAACGACCCCGTCACTCTCCAATGGAAAGTGCTTGGTTTTGGGCATGAAAATGCTGTGTTTGTGCCTAGTTTGAACCCTTATTTAGTGTGTTGCTCTTGGTGGAATTCACTCTGTTGCTTTGACTTCACTTGGTAGATTTCACTTGGTCAGTGAGCAATTAACAACTCACATTCATTTTGTTCATTGATTGAGTGTTGTTGGGTGTGAAGGTTTAAACATCTTTTGCTTAGGCGCATTTAGCAAGCTATATGGTTATTATAAGTGTATGTATGGTTGAGTAATCAGGTTAAAAGTGTTATTTTTTTTTTTTTTTTTAAGAAGTAAATTAGCAAAAAGGCTACAAAAATAATCACTTTATTTATGATTTGCACGAGATGTTTTTTTTTTGGAGTCATACAAATTATGATCTTAATTTGGAGTCATGAATCTTGCAGGGGTATTGTATACCTAACCAAAATTTTTCTTGGGTAGGTAATTTAATTTTTTAAAGAGCTTATGGGGAAGTTAGTTGACATGATGTAGCACTCTCCTTGAATTGCAACCAAAGGACTAATAAACAGAAGCAAAAGAGCTTTTATCATATATGGAATCACATTTGATCAACAGAGCACTTTTCCTTTCTTATATAAATGAGATGTTGAAGCAACTAAGTATTGTTATGATTTAGAATATACTATGTCAGTTTAACTGGTTGGCCTGATAATTATGATGTTCTTGTGCTTGATTGATAAATATCAGAAGAGTTTGTTGCACATATTCATCACATTGTTGTGTTCACTTACTGTTTTTAGCCTGATAATAAATGGCTCTATCATAAAAGTTTGCAGGGTTTTGGTGGTTTTGGTGCACTTGACATTCTGTCTATCTAGAGAGTTGTTTCCTAATGTTGGAAGGTTCTTGGAATGGGAAAAACGGCACATTGCAACCAGTGGACACATACTGCTGCAATAACTGAATCAGGTTGTTCTCTTACTAACTGACCCTTTTTTTGTATGGAAATTCCTTTACATGTATATAGTATGGGTTTGCATTTGGATATAGGCTGCTTAACCTGGACTAAATTATATGAGTTTTGATTTGTGACCTTTGAAACGCCCTCTTGACCTCATAATGTGAAAACTATCAATCTATACTGAACACAAATTGAATGGAATTTTCAATGTCTTAGGTTATGATTCAGCATTTATGTTTCTAGTTGTTCTTTATGAGAGATGATTCATATTGCCTTCATTTA